ATAATGTATTCTTTTCCTACGGTTTCCGATTAAGGCTTGCTAATAAATAGTAAATTCCTTCTCTGAGAGAGAAACTTACTTTCTATATTCCTTGGCAGACCCCATTTTAAAAAGCCTTCTACATGGTATATACGTTAGCAATAAGCAAGGAGAGCAAAAAAGAGAGGATGTGTTCATGGTAGCAAACATTTTAGTGCTATGTATCTGGCACTGTTCTAAGCTATATTTATATTTGCTCATTTAATCCTCTAACAATATGCAGAGATAGGCACTCTCCCCTTTTTATAGGTGAGCGGCTTCAGGCTCTGAGCAGTTTTATACCTGCCAAAGAACTCGGCTCACCAGCTGGTTCTGGTAGACATGACAGGGATGTCTCAGGAATGAGAACGCCACAAGATGGGACCTAGAGAGCCCATGGAATTGAAGGAATCCAATTTTAGAGTTGTGAGGGACCTCAAGAGTTTGAGTGACTTGCCCAAGGCTCAATGTAGCTATTCCATTGAAGAATTAGTATAGAATCCACTTCTTTTGCTAGTTCAATGCCATTTCCAGCCCAGGCACAGGTCGCTCTTAGAAGGAAAAGAAGTTAGCCTTAACGATTTAAGGTAGGGTCTTGGAGAGGCTAGAAAGGTTAGAAAACACTGACATGAAAAGAAAGTAAGAGATGGTGGTAGGGGTAGGTAGGCCCCAGATATCATGACTAACCAGTCTAGGACTAGTCAAGATGTTTGGTACCCCATGAAGACCTATGCAATCTCCAACAGCCACACACTCACCTGTTTTTGGTACACGCGAGAGTGTGCTGGTGTTCAGATCATTACTTCGTGGAATTCATGCATTCTTGCTGAGAGAAGTTCTCTCAAACCAATCCTGCATGTTCACTGACTTCCATCATGTTTTTATTTTTTAAGATTTTTAAGTAATCTCTATGCCCAACAGGGGGCTCAAACTGACGGCCCTGAGATCAAGAGCGGCACTCCACCGACTGAGCCAGCCAGGAGCCCCTTGACTTCCATTACAAATTAAGGATTTTACTTGGGGATTTTGGATCATCTTGATGACCAAGTGTTTTACAGGCCAGTCCATGGCATGTTCGGTGCTAATTCTGTGGATCTGGAAAGCTGCTGAACTCACCTAGCATTTCATTTCTTCCATGCAGCCTTCTCTCCCAGCTTCTGGGAGCTTCTGTTCAAAAACATCTCTCATGCCTAAGGATCCTGGGTTGGCATCCAGTTATCTCAGTGGTTTATTGCCTTTCTCCAGCCTTGGTGGTGGTACTAACAAAGCCAGAGAGAGGGAGACTTGCAAGCTAGCATTCTATACTTCAACTGGAATATTCCATTAGCTCATGGCTTTGGGTTCCAGAAAGGAGCTCATTTCCCAACTTCAGTAATTTGAAATACTAGCTATCCCATTTCCCTGCAGTGTGACTGTCTTGTCGACAAGCACTGCAGGACCCTTCTGCACAGCTCAGGTAAACCCTGTTGAGTGGAACAGAGCAACTCCTCCTGCTTGTCCCTGGCCATGTTAGTGCTGGCCCCAGGGAAGTTTCTCTTTGCCTCTGAGCCTCCGTTCTGAGAACCATCTTATCACCTTTGCACTAACAGTGAAATGCAATTACTGTGTACATGGCTCAGATTTCTTTTCACAGTTTTCTTCTGTTGCATGTGAAAAAATTCAAAATTACTTCCAAGCCACTTGAATTCATGTCCCTTCATTCCCGTATGAGCACTCACACACAAGTGAGCCCTTAGATTGAACTATCCCGTCTGAGACAACCGCACAGATTGTCCAAAGCCATCATCCTCTGTTGTAGGCAAGTCTGGACTCACTGAGGCTTACTTCACCTTAGTGCTTCAACCCTGGCCCACTGCCTTGCTCAGGTCATAAGGGGTGGATGGCCTTCCTCTGGAAGCATCTATTTTCCTCACGAGTGTCTTGGTTGGCAAGAACTTTTCAGTTAATTGAAGGAGGCAGCTTTATAGGCAGGATATAAAAGGTCTTTTTTCTTTTTTTTTTTAAGGAACACGTCTGCAAAGCATGCTTGGTATAGGGCAGAAAAAGCAACTTGATATTTGGAAACATCAAAAACTTTCTTTTGGGGCTGTTTGTAATGTCACTTCACTGCATCACTCCCTCAGCTCCAACTAATAAAAGGGTCAATTCCAGGATCTCACTATCCTGAGTCCAAGGAGACCAAGCAGATACCTCCTCCGACCCTACATTTCGTTGTCTAGATGTGACCTTTGCTCTATACCTAGAAGAGGCAATGACCACTGGCATGGATGTGGAATACCAGTTTTTCTTCTAGTCTTCAGAGTGGCTTTGAATCAAGTTTCAGCTAGAAAGAATTAAAACAGGAAAGAAATTAAGGATCAGAGGTGTCTAAGCAACCAAGTCTTCCCTGGAAGAGAAGAGAAAGCCGAGAGAAGTGAGTAATAGGTTTATTTGCATATACACAAGAGAAGAGCTAGCATTGCTGGGAAGTCACAAGAGGAGGGGCTTGTGAGGAGATAAGGCTTCAGCAGAGGAAGGCACCTTGACAAACAAGGGACTCCTGGCTTAGTAAATCAAGCACAGTGGCAACCTTCTTTTGCCCCAAGCCAACTACTCATTTTAACTCATTTACTGCTGTCCTAGAGACACAGGAATCACTTACAAAACCAGGCAGAAAATAAAGTGGAGAGAAATGGTTTTACCTATCTGGACCAGCCACTTAAAAATTTATGTACAGGATGCAGGAAAAAAAGAAAAAAACAACAATCATAAGAGGCACTTTTGAATAGTTCTTAATCTAATCAGTGCCATCTGTCCTGCTAGTAAAAATACCAACATGGAAAAATTTGGGGATCAAATGTGCTTCCAAAGTTGGGGCCTCAATTCACAAGGATTTTGGCAAAGGATTCTAGAAGTGGTTCCTGCCAGGTTTCCAGGCCCAGGATCACAAGACAGGAGATTTCTGGAAAGGAGAGTCTAGTGGCTACAGACACAAGCAATTCTCAGCCTCCTCCAGTGAGTATCTCGTGGGCTTATCTCCTGGCAAGTTGAACCTGGGGTGCTGGGAAGAGTCTCTCGTTGCTAAAAAAACGATCCTTCTTGAACACTAAAATCGAACCAGAATGAACTCTGACTTCTCTTTGGAGTACCCAAATGGGATTAAGGCTTTTAACATGAAAAGACCAAGTTCTGCATTTGGAAACTGTAACTACCAAGTGGCTAGTTCCCAAGGGAACTTCTTTTTCTCTAGGAAAAGTGGACTGTCCTTAGAGAAACCAGAAGAGGCTAGCTACTGATTAGATTAAATAAAATAGAACAAAAAGATTAGGTAGGCTGACTAGGAGGGGGAAGAGAAACACACACTGAGTGATTAAATCTTTTTTCTGTATATAAAGGATTAAAAAATTCCAATTTAATAAGTTTTGGAAAAGCAAATGTAAAATGACTTGGGCTTATAAAACCAGAATTTACAATTATCTGTGAATAGTCAAAGACAAATCATAGAACCATTTAGATTACAAATCCAAAGTAATTCTAATGGTTACAGAATCACTCTCCCACTCCCCCCGTGAGATTACAGTTGTTCAATCATAAGCATCCCCACTGCTACTCACACTCCTTCATCTCCTCCTAAGACCGTGTTTTCACACCCAAGTCACATCATGCATACCAGGCACGTCTTTCCTTTCACAAAGCTTAGCCAGATGATGCCTCCTTTTGGCTTAGATCAACAACCTTCCTTTTATAAATAATCCCTCTTCCCCCAGTGCCTAAATTCATCCAAGTCTTCATCCTCCACATGGTCCCAGTCCCAGTAGGCCAAGTCCTCCTCTAAAAGGAACACTGGACTGGAGAGGCTGCACCAGTGACACGTTCGGTCCTCTCTATGCCGATGCTGGCTGCACCCCAGGTGGTCTAGCACCTTTGCACCCAAGAAAGTGATAGTGTGCTTCTTTCTCTCTTCCTCGTTCTTGCCACTACTCTGCCTTTTCGTGACATCTGTGACGACGAGATATCTGGTCCTTCCTAAGTCTTCCTGGCTTGTGCAACCCTTCATGCATAACTGACTGGCAGGACCACTGTGATGCTGAAAGTCTCTTGGTCTTTCTCCTTCGCAGTGAAATGGAGTCTCTTCTAGCGGCCAGGAGTCTTAAACCAGAGACTCCTCTCTGCCTCCTAACCCACCAACTCAACAGCAATCTGTTTCTTTCGAGATGCCCACTGCTCTGCAAGATCTAGTCAGGACACCACAGCCTCTGCTACATGCAAGCCTGCGGGAAGACGCCAGTTCCTTCGATTCTGACCAATCATTTTGGGTTGAATTAAGTGAATATAGTACCACACCCTGTTCTTCACGACACTTCTTCATTAACAGACCTAGAACATCTGCTTCAGTAGTCTGAGCACAAAGCTCTTGAGGCTGTCTTTCCCCCTCCTCTCATCACGTGGGGCCGGGGAAGCGCCCGTTGGCCTTTACAGTGCCTCTTAGGAACTAGCACCCCAGCAGTTCGCGCGTTCCCCACCACCAGTCATAGTTTACGGCCTCCATGCAGAGTGTGGTGCAGCCCTGCTCAGTCTGCCATGGGTGAAATTTATCAGGGGTCTGTGTCCTCTGGAATCTGATCTTACGCGCTAACCTCTCATTTGCATTAAAACCGCTCCACTTTTAGTACGTCCACATTCAATGCTCAATGAAGAAGTGCTACTGAGAGAAAACATGGACGATTTCCCTACGAAAGGACCCATGCTTTCCATTCCAGCACAGCCAATGGGCTGAGGGCCTGTTCCCACTCTCCCCGTCATTCTTTCAGCACAGATCCATGACTCGGCGACAGCACAGCCGGGTCCAGCAGGCCCTCGCTGTTAAGACCCGAACACCTACAGCATGTATACATGGTGAGATGGCAAAAGATACAGATCCACAGATCCTTTCTCAGGGAGAACTGAAAGCCTCTGAGACAATGAGCTCACACGTGCCGGTGAACACACACAAGAACAAGTCAAACGTCTCAACAAGGATTTACTTTAACAAAACGCACAGGTACGCGATGCTCGAGTCTTACTAGAAAGGAGTCACTTGGATTTCTTTCCCTTTCCTTACACAGCACAAGCCAACGGCCAGCTAAACATCCAGACCCATTACTGACGAGAAGGGAGCAGCATCAGACACGGAATTTCAGGCCCTGCTTTTATGTGCCTTTAATACTTTTTTCCTTTCCTCTGTGTTCACTAAACAGGATTAAAAAATTTTTTGTAAAGCTACATTTCATAGCTTTTTGTTTTCCCTTTGTATTTATCATGTTTTTAATTTCTTCTCTGAGGAGGAATTCTCTGAATCTGCATCTTCCAATTCGACTCGGTGCCTTTTGAGGCCACTATGGCCATGAACGGCCCTGCTGCTGTCTGTGTCCGGGGGGTCAGTGGGGTCCTCTCTCATTCCAGCACTAGGGGTCTCACAGGCCATTTCAGACCCACAACAATCTTTGTGTAGGAGTGTCCCTGTCAGGGACAAGTTATCATGGTCAGTGTCCGAATGTCCTGGAGAAGAGCACACCACTGCCTCCAGCTCTCCAAAGTTCTGCCCATTGTTGTGGGGGTGAGGGGGGCGGGGGTGTAAGCGTCCATTGTTGTGGTTGGCACAGATGGTTTCGAGGCTCCTCTCCTCACTGTCATCAGACTGGGTCCTGGGACAGCTGCCAGACCCGCTGCCGAGAGTGGAGCCAGATGCCTTGGGGACAGGAGGAGAGGGCGGCTCCTCAGCCCGGCTGCTCAGGGCCTTGCTCAGGGCCTTCCCATTGAGCTTCTTGGTTTCAAAAGAGTGTTCTACAGAGCCAGCATTGTTAGTGTCCTGTGAGGGGCCCTCCGGGGCCTCTGCCCAAGGGTGGCTGCTGTGCTCCTGGCCTGGGCCATTGCTGGGATTTCTAGCAGAAGTCCCTTCTTTGGAAGCATCCTTGCTGCGACCTTCAGGGGGCAGGTCCTGGTTCCGCGGGCCGACGGTCGTGCCGAGACAGGCTTCCTTACTGGAAGAAGGGGCTGGGCTGTCCTTGTGGCTGGTGCCCGCTCGCCCTTCATCGGCCTCCCCAGACACGAGCGAGCTCTCTCCATCTTTGTTACTGGAGTAGGAGATATAGGAGTAGCGGAGCCACTTGTAAGCTTTATAAATCTTCCGCTCGACCGACTCGATGTCAGAAGTTGGCGAGGCCCGGCTGGGCTGAATCTCCAGCGTGGAAGTGCTCCGCTCAGGGGAGGAGTGGGGAGAGGAGGAGAGGTCGTCCACTTTGATCTGGGGGTAATCGTAGTTGTCTTCTCCGATGTAGGTGCTGGCGGGCTTGCTGGGGGGGGCGGGCCTCTCTTCTCGGGCCGCCTTCTGCCGGCGCCGCAGGGTATTGCGCTGCCGTGTGGCCGTCCGCCGCTCGTTCAGCTCCTCCTCATCCTCCGAGCTGCTGGAGCTGCTAGAGCTGCTGGACTCGTCTTCGGGGCTGGGAGACCGCGGCCGGGGGAAGAGGTCTGTGTCCAGCTCCACCTCACAGGCGTTCTCTTCAGAATCGGACTCGTTGGAAAGGGCCAGGAGGCGTTTGTCCTGGTAGCGCCGCAGAGCAGACAGGCGCTGCTGGCGAGACGCGGCCTCTTCACACGTGGGCGGCGGCGACGCCCCTGAGTTGGCGGTGGTGACCCGAAGGGGCCCCAGGTGGAAGGCGCTGTCGGCATTCTCGTCCACTGTGGGCGGAGGGGAGCGGGGCAGCGAGGCCGAGGACTCGGAGTCGGTGTAGCCCGAGCGCTCGCTGACCCCCGCGTGCAGCTGGAGGATGGTGCTCTCGCTGAGGTCGCTGTCGGAGTCAGAGCTCCAGCCCTCGATCTCGCGGCGCACCAGGGAGTCAAAGAAGGCCATCATCCGGGGGTCTTCCTGCACGGACTGGTTGGCGTAGTCATGTGACAGGCCACTCCCACTGTTCAGCACCAGGCTGATGTACTCTTCGTGGGTATAGAGGCAGCGGGAATCATCCTCAATCCGACCGTCTAGGTCTCCTGTACATCCTGGCTGCTTGTATGGGCTCCAGATCTGCACAGAAGGCAAAAACAAAACCAAGGAGGCCTGATTGGAAAGTACTCCAAAGCTGGTGGAGATAAAGAACACTAAGGCAGAGCTTCTCCAGGCCCTTCCTGTCATTCAGCCAGGACTTGCTAACCAGCTTTAAAAATACATTCTTTACCAGACTGGATTATGTGGGCCACATATGAAAACAGAGGCTTCGGGAGTCAGGTGTTGGAAAAAGCACTGTCTAGGCCATAGGATCAGCCTCGGTGTCAGGAAACCTAAATCTTGTCTCTTGACCCAGGATAGTCACACACCATCCCCCCTACGAGCCCCCTCCCCTTTAGCTACTCTGTGAGTAGCTTGGAAATTACAATGACTCCCTTCATAATCGTGAAGGATAGGGGATGACTTGAAGGTTGGCCAATGTGTTCTAAACTCTCAGAAGACTGAAGCTGCGCACAGAGAGGTACCACTTTTCCAAAGTGAAAACAGACCCAGCAGTCAGTCCCCTGTGGTAGTTATTATTTCAGCCTATAACTCCACTTCTCCCCAACTGCAACATTTCTATTTTTAACTAATGGGAATTGCTTACTGGCGCTTGATAAGAATAGCCAACTGCCTACACTGCAGTTCCCTCTTGGACATGCAGGCAGTAGTTACCCAGGAAACTGGGTTCTCTTAACCAGTTGCTGCTAACCTGCTCCCCAACTCTCCTGTTAGCTGCAGGAATAGGCAGGACACCCCCCGCCCCAAGACCATGGCCCCATCCCTTAACGCTCCTCCACTCTATCATCAGACACATGGGCTGAGAGCCAAAGGAACTAGGCAGAGCTAGGACTCAAACTCAGGTCGGCCTGACTGCAAAGGCCCAACTTTACAAGTGGAATAAGTTAGGCGAAAATCAAGTTCAAGGTAATTAAGCTGTCACTGCAGATGAGAACAATTAGCTTCACCTGACTACCAGACTGGTCCACAGAGCAGCACACAGACGCTCAGTTACATCAGCCGGTAGCCATGGCAACTCAGATGAAATTCCAGGCGATTTTCTTGCCTGACAGGCTGGTGTCTATCTTTAGATGGCACCCAACCCAGAAAACAGGGCTCCTCATTCTCTACCCTCTATCAAGACAATGGCTTTGCTTCCCCAAAGCTATCCAAGGACAAATTCACCTCCTTGTGAGCACTCATCTGAGGCCCCATCCTTCCCGTGCTTTACTTGCAACTTCTGAGAGGTAGCACCTTTTTGGAGGATCTCCAGTTCAAAAGGGGCTGGAAAAACCTAGGTTAGCTCTCTTCATCAATTCCCAACTCAGATTCATTTCTCCTTCGACTTTCTTTGCTGCCTGCAACTCCTCAGGTGTTCTCCCCTCTCCATCCTCACTACCTGACCCAGCGGAGGTTTAAGGCAGTGGTTCTCACACTCAGGAGTACACAGGGGTCACCTGAAGAGTCCTAACGGTGTTGACTCCTGAGCCCCACCCTTAGAGATTCTGATTCACTAAGTCACCAGCAGGTACTGGGGCTCTGCGTTTTTAACAAGGGGGATAGCAACTTTTTAAGAAACACTAGAATATAGTTAGAAAATAAGTGGCAGAAAATAAAGGATTTGTCTGAAGAGATCCTCAAATTCTATGTTTTGAGACATTTAGACATCGCCTTCAACAATAGGCTCAACTACAAATGACTATCTCTGCAAACAAATGTCCGAGGGAATAAAAGTTTGGTGGCTTAGAAAGGAAACTGAGGGGTCCCTTAGGACTTTTGGGGGGTCTTATCCTATATTCCGGGCCAGATCTCTTACTCTCCCAGTTTAAAAATGGCAAAATTTTACTAACCATATTGTCTTATATGAAGATAAATCTATACGTGCTTCACAGAAACACAGAATTTGTTAACCTAAGTACAAAATATTAATGGTGGGATGCTGGTCCAACTATGCAACAAGCCAATTTCTAGGTTCTAATCTACCACCCAGCCCCTATGTCTTCACTTCAGGAATGAAAATCATTAACACTGAAAGTCAGCTTTTATTTGGGCTCTGGAATGTATTAAGCTGAGGTAGACTTTCATTCCTGAAGCTTGGAGTAATGGAACAAAACGCTGGATCAGGAGGCAGGAGACTTGAATGTGGGTTCCTACTCAGCTTGGGTTGACCTTGGATAAAGCTCAGCTCCCTGATCTAAACAGTGAATTAGATGGGTCTCATCCAATCCTAAGGTTCAGAGCAGAACAAAACCATCATCCCAGACAGCTAGTTTGCAATCCTCCAGGAACTTGTGGCTCAGAGCTGTACGGGCAGGCAGAACAGGTAGGAAACCCAGCCCCACCACTTCACAGGGCCCTGGGCAAATGACTTCACTCTTGAACACATCTTTTCTCATCTGTAGAAATGAGAATGATGAAAATACATAACCTATACCAAAGCACAGAAAAATGTGGTGCTTTCTCTTTCACGTGGCAGCTAAATACCTCAACCAGGAAGTTTTAGACCCATCCTCAAAGAGATTTTCGAACATCAGAAGTACTGACCATCCCCCCTATTATCTTAGTCCTCATCCTAAAAATAACAGTTTCAAAATATTTGTTCAAGTGTTTATTTCTTTGCACTGAAAGTCAACAACTCAGAAGTAAAGCACCAAAAACACAATCTCCTGTTGCTAACATGTTAAATGTGGCAAGGTTCATCAGAAAAGGAGGAGGGATAAGCAGATTTCTCTCCAAGCCCAGTGAAAAGTTTAGCTCGGGGGCTGCTGAGGGGAAAAGATGCTGTTCAATTCTTATTCAAACACTGTCAAAATGGAAAGCAATTAAGTAGCAAGTGTTCTGATCCACACAGGTACCCATGACATGCTTGACATAGCAGCTCTAAGCCCCCTCCTCTTTGTGCTATTGTACTAAATTAGGAGATCTGACTACCAAGAAAATCTACACTGATAGGGACCTAAATATTTAGGCTATTTAAGGGTTCTCCGCCCTCTCTAATCTGGCTTCCGAGACCTTCTGGGCCCACCTCCTGCCCACCTTCCAGCCTTGTATCTTAGTCCTCCCTTTTTTTTTTTTTTTTAAGATTTTATTTATTTATAATAGACAGAGAGAGACACAGCGAGAAAGGGAACACAAGCAGGGGGAGTGGGAGAGGGAGAAGCAGGCTCCCCGCTGAGCAGGGAGCCCGATGCAGGGCTCGATCCCAGGACCCTGGGATCATGACCTGATCTGAAGGCAGACGCTTAATGACTGAGCCACCCAGGCGCCCCTTAGTCCTCCCTTCTTGTGCTCTTCCCTTTGGCCAAACATGATCATTTTCTGAACAGGTCCTACGCTTCACTGTTTCTGAGCAATTATTCGTAAGTATAATGCCTGGAACACAATAGGTGATCAATAGATATTTATTGATTCAACAAAATAATTAACTATCCATTGCCTCCACTTTTATTCCTCATATCTTACTCCTTCCTTTTGCAGTCTTTATTCTTCAAATTCTAGCTCAAATGTTACCTGCCCGAGATGATCCCAGATGGGAAAAGATCTCTCCCTCCCCCAGAGCATTCTGTTTCCATCTCTTGTGTAGCTATTGCGCTTTTCATTGTATTTATTTCTTGTCTCTCTTACTGGGTGACCTGCATTACCTTTTTTTGCCTTTATGTTCCCCAGAGGGCCTAGCACAAATGGCACACATTAAGTACATCACAAATATCATAGGTAAATAAATGAATATTGGTCTTTTCAGAAGAAAATGTCAGCATTTGCCCTACCTTGCCCCTCCAGGCTTAACTATAAATAACAAACCCCCTCTTTTGCTAAGCATGGACATTCGGGGGCTAGAGACCTGTTATGGGTAAGAAGAAGCTGGCCCCGACAACTGGGATTCTTCTTTTCTGGGCTCGGACGGCAGCAATAAAGGACAAGGGAGAAGGTGGAGTGAAGTGGAGAGAAAAAAGGTCTCAGGCTGGGCTAGAACATTATGCTCTTTGAGCCATTGATCCTCTCAGAAATACAAGCAGGAAAGTGACGCTTATTAAAATAGTCAGTTCAGGCATAGGTAATTCACAAGGCACTCCAGGATGGCAAGTCCCTGTTAGCATCCTCACTTGACAGCTGGGGAGCAGACTCAAAGAACTGTTTAAGGGTACCAGCTGTACTGACTTTAGGTTTCAAATGGCTAAATGAGCCTCCTGGTGGGGCAGGGTTCAGACACCACTAGAACCTGGAAGCAGTGAGCTCCATAGTTCAGTCTGGATAACCTTCCAGAGAAAACATTTTCTTCTCTTATTCCTCTGAGAACTTGGCTAGTTTCCACACTATGACCTTTAGGTTAAAGACTCCAGTTGACTAAACAATAACTGGGGAGACTAAGTGCAGAAGCATCCCAGAGTACATGGCCAAGCAGGAATCTCTCTACTAAAGGAGATGCCCGAGCAGAGCTATCTGAAAAAGAGAATGACATCAACAGGCCTAGAGACAACATGCTACTGTGCCAACCCATTAGTCATAGGCCAAAGGAGAAGAGATGGCAATTCAAGGAACAGGGCCAATCCATGATGTCCAGTGAAGGACTACTGAGATGACCACCTCCTGCAGAGGCCCCTGGCTGCCTGCTGCCTTCTCAGCAGCATGGGGAGGGTGAGAGGCCACTGGGAGGAACAAAGAACAGGGCTCTATCCTGACTTTACCACTAATTAGCTGTGTAATTAACCTCAGATGGGTAGTTTATAATTGAAATCTCACCATCTATTAAAAAAAAAAAGTCGGTAAAAATGATCTAGAAGTCCTGCTCCAGCTCTGTGGGAAAATGTGTGCAATCATGAAAGTCAGCCCTGATCCACAGGACCAATAAAACTTACATAAAGGAATGTGGAATGAGGACAAATAAAAATATTGACCCATCCTCCAACGTTACATTTCTGATAGCTTCCCTTGCCTCAGAAACAACTTGGTTTAACTCTATACGGAGGGAGGGAGGGAGGGAGGAAGAGACGGAGGGAGGAAATGAAAACCACCAAATCATCACAAACCAATTTTTACCTTTTTCCTGATACCTTCCCTCAGGTTTTCAGTATCATTTTAGGGAAAAAAAAAAAAATAGGAGTTTTAACTTTTAGGGGGTGATTATCATCTATCCTTACTTAAAAATCAAGTTATCAGAGAATCCTAAAGGATTCATCATTTGCCCCAAACCTTCATTTACACAGATGTGGAAAAGGGTCAGTAGCAACTGGAATGTGAGTGACAGGCAGCGGGCCGTCCTCCTGTGGACACAGGCCAGGCTGGGTCTCTCGGTTGCACGCTCTAGATACATTCCTTGACCGGGTTAAGTTCATTCAGTCAATGTGCAATTAATGCAAGCGTTTAGCCTCGACCACAACCACATGCCATGGTTTTTGATATGTTCTGCGGCAATTTAGCTACAGTTCTGGCAGTCACTTAGTGATGTCTGTGCCATATCAGTACAGCAATTAATGCAAAGTCACACCGAGTAACCGAGGGGATGGTGGCTTCCCGATGAGGTTTGGAAAGCAGAATGCATCAGACTCAAGATCAAAGGCCATTGGAAATGCAGTGGCATACAAGTGGTGTCTAGTTTCAAAGCCTAGTGACTATTTTAAAAGTGGTCCTGAAAGGAGGGTTTTAAACCACTCTTTTAATATCAATTTTTCAGTATTTTACAATATGTTAAAATAATCGAAAAAAATTCTTAAGTAATCTCTATATGCAACGTGGGGCTTGAACTCACGATCCTAAGATCAAGAGTCACATGCTGTACTGACTGAACCAGCCAGGCACCCCAAAATAATGGAGAATTTTGACAGACCTTTAGTATGTTTTGGTATGAGGTCCTATATATATTGATCTAGTTTCTTCCAATTATGAATTGTAATAATTTGTCTAAAGAACAGAAGGGGAAGGTGCCTCACCTTGATAATCTTTTCTACACCAGAAGAGCAGATCATGTAGGTGTGAGGGTTAAATCGGACCTGGTTAACAATAGACCGATGCCCTTTCAGCACCATGAAGGCTCCGTTGACCACCCTACCAATGCCACCTGGGAAGACAGAAGGAAACAAAAATCAAATGATGAAATGGATAAAAGTAAATAGGTTCCAGTAATGGCAGACAAACAGCTCTGAAGTGGAGCCAAGATCTTTATTAACTATGCCACCAGGAGAATGCTTAATCTTACAGATAAAGTTGCTATGGAAAGAGGGAAGATGAAATATTCTCTCAGCATATGTGCTCTTACCAAGAGCCTTTATTTAGCCTTTAAGCATTGCCCACGCCCACCCACTGCAATTCCATTGTCAATGAAGCCCCAGCCACTTAAAACATTTCGCAAGTTTTTGATCCTCAAGATAGAACCCAAGTGTTACCTTAGAAAAGGCCAGTCATGAGCAAAATAAGACTGAACTACTTGGGAACAATTAGGCATCTGAGCCAGGGACATGCAGAACCAGAAGCATACAATTACTTACACGCACAAAAAAACCTCTGATCCATTTGCCCTTAATTTCTTTGATGAAGGTTGCAAACAAACAAACACACAAAAGCCACTGGGAAAATAATGGAGAAAATCCTTTTGTTACCCTGACAGCAGGGAGAGCTAGGGATAAAGAAAGATTTGTGCCACTTTCCCGACAGGGAGAGCCCAAGTACTGAGAATCTGAATTAGAATAAGGGGCTTAAAGACACCATGTATGGATTAAAATCAAGAGGCCACTAATAAAAAGTTATATTTTAAGGACCATCCTGTAGGCTTTCTTCTTCTGTGACTGAGAAAAGCACCAGATGCCTGGAACTTATAACACAAATTAAGATGTCATCATTTATAAACTTGGAATAATCTCAAAGGTTCAACTTCACTGGTAAGGGCATCACACACAGAACACATGCACCCGTGTTCTCAACAAGGTCGCTTCTGAGCAACCATCAACAGCTCAGTACACATAGGCCAGCCTGTGTCCCCAGCCAACTGGCAACCTATGATGCATTCAGGCACAAACAAATCAGCGTTCACTCATCTAAGCAGTGAACACCGGGGTGCCTGGGTGGCTCAGTTGGTTAAGCGACTGCCTTCGGCTCAGGTCATGATCCTGGAGTCCCGGGATCGAGTCCCGCATCAGGCTCCCTGCTCGGCAGGGAGTCTGCTTCTCCCTCTCCCACTCCCCGTTTGTGTTCCCTCTCTCGCTGTGTCTTTCTCTGTCAAATAAATAAATAAAATCTTTAAAAAAAAAAAAAAATTAAAAAAAAAAAAATAAGCAGTGAACACCATCTTAGCCACTACCGGAAGCATGGCCACTAGGGCACAAAGTAGCAGCAGGCAGTTTCTGCTCCACATGCCTCCACCCTACTCCCAATGCCACCTTGTTCAAACCTTCATTCCAGACATTTCTCATCTCAGTGTCTAGAGGGACAATGACTAGCACAACATCCCTTCTCTAGAAATAATCTGGTTCAGAAGATGTCTTCTGCTTTTGGCCTCCTGACACGCCTCCCCTTTTGACTCATGGAAGATATCCCTCTTGATTGCCATGTACATACACATCTCTTTTTTGACAGCAAGAGCTTTCAGATCTGCCAACTAGCACTAGGTGCTTACACTACTTGGTCAGTGACAAAATGTTCTTTGCCTAATTTTTCCATCATATTTGATGTTATTTTTTAAAAGGTTTGATTGATTGATTGATTGATTGATTTGAAAGAGAGAGAGAGTGTGGGGGGAGAAACAAAGGGAGATGGACAAGCAGACTCCATGCTGAGCACAGAGCCTGATGGGGGGTTTGATCTCACGACCCTGAGATCATGACCTGAGCCGAAATCAAGAGTCAGAAGCTTAACTGACTGAGCCACTCAGAAGCCCCTGACATTATTAATATTTGAATTATCTGGGATGGATAACACACATAAAGCTATTCATATCTCAACCCAACATCATCAAGTTTGCTAATAAACCATAAAGGAGAATGACTAGGGCATAGAATTGATATGTTTTCATTGATCAGGAAAGGCTAGGGGCCCCTAGGTGGTTCAGTAGGTTAAGCTTCTGGCTCTTGATTTTGGTTCAGGTCATGATCTCAGTCATGAGATCGAGCCCTGCGCTGGTCTCTGTGCTGGGCATGGAGACTGCTTAAGAGTCTCTCTCTCCCTCCTCTCCCTCTGCCTCTGCTCTTCCTCCCATCCCGCCTGTGCTCTCTCTCTCACTAAAAATAAAAAATAAAAGGAAAGATTTAGCACCAAAGTAGGCTGCCGTGATGGGAAACCCTAGGTAGCCTGAGTGCACTGGGCTCCTAGAGTGGAGTGGGAGGAGTGGAAGGTAACCTGAGCCTAGTCAAAATAAAAATAAACAAGAAAATTAAGGAAAAGAGATCCATGGGAATCTAAACAGTTGTCTCCATACAGGGATCTTACCACCCTCCAAGGAGTTCCCTTGGGTATATATAGTTTTTTCTATATAAGGTTGATTCAAAAAGTAGCATTCCCACTCATGGGTCCCTTCTGAACTCCACGTTTCCAACACCCTACTCCTACCCATACCTGCACTGGAGTAGTCACTAGCAAAGAAACTTTGGGTTAAACCTAGTAAAATCTCTTATTTAATCCTACTGCCTCCAAGAAAAGTAATTTAAGTGACTCAGAGAGTTTGAGAGACTTCTTGGTCAAGATTTGAACCAGTCTTTTTGGCTATAATGCCCACTATCCTTTCCACTGTAACAGCGGCCTTTAAGAGATGAAAGGATTTGAATAGGGATGGAGTCTGAAGCTCATAAAATATTTTGCAATCTTTCTTGCAGTTAACCATATGAGTTGGTTTTCTTTTTAAGCTCTCAACTTAAAAATGGGAAGGGGGAGATTCTATCCAATGGTATCTTGAGCACAAGTTCCATAGTATCACCACAGGAATTTCATCACATTGCCAACACTGAATAGTTCATGAGAGCAGAACCGGCTCTCTTGCATACCTAGAACTGGGGGTGCAATGCCTGAACTAAAGTAGGTGCTCAGTAAGCACTTGTTGAATGGACAGTGTTTCAGGAGAGGGCAATTCTAGAATATTACCAAAGAAAGACAGATGGAGGGTCTCACGTCTTAAAGAATCAACTACCATGGAACTTAAGTTTATCAACCAAACTGACCTTTCTGTCAAAGGTTATTTGGAATACAATTACAATAACTTTTGGACCTGAAGAATAATCGAAGGATCTCAACATCTGTAAATTCAGACCATGGGAAAACTTTCTATTCTTCCATGCAATGTGACCTCATCTGGTTTCTTTTCATGGCAGCAACTTTATTTATTTATTTACTTTTTCTTTCAAATCATTTTAATAACCTAGCAATGATTCAAACTATGGAAAGAAGATTCAAACTTGTTCCCTTAAGAGGGATGCTATCACAATTGCTTCACACAAGCAAGATCAAAGGCAACAATGAAACCAGATTCCCAAGAGCAAGGGTGATAAGAAGGCTTCAAGGCTCAGTTTGAAGAGCTTGGTTTCAGAAAGTCTCTGAGGGGTAGCAAAAGAGACATGAAATTTAAGGGACCCTCAGAGGGCACGGTTGCTGGGTCATGAGCACCTTGAAGCATTTCTTGACGGTGATTTGGTGTCGAGAGTATTTGTCATCTGGGGAGAACTGAGCAGGATGAGTCAAGCAGGTCTGCTATCCCAAAGGGTCAAGCTTCTTCAGCATATAGACCCAGTCTCCGTGCTCGTTGAGGTAATACTGGAGAAACACAACCACACCGAAGCCAGAAGTTCCAATTTCGCCCATGGTAACAATTTTAATACAGGTCTTTCCTCCTTCTTCCCACCCAAACTGATACCTAAGAAATCTGAAAAAGATACCTAGGAATTCCACAGAGCCAAGAGACTGATGGTGAAAACAGGTACAGGAAGAATTATGGCTGCCATTTGTTTAAGGCATCCAACGCTGTGTACACAGAATCAGAATAATGAATGGGCTTCAGGGAGGTTCGATAGTCCCTCTCCTGGTTTCCAGGTTTCAAATGATTGAATACAGCTGCTACTGTATAGTTTAGACACATTGATTATTAGAGAATACATTTTTATCAGTCCTGGAGATTTGTATAAACCAGATTTCTTCAATCAGAAATGGCTAAAGTCAAGATGCCAATATCAGTAAAAACTCAGCATCTCCATTACCTAGCCAGACTGCGCCCATCAACAGCAGGATCAAGTTGGCAGGAGTCAGCCAGGGAATATTTTTTTCTAAGAACTATATAAGCTACAAAATCTCCCTTCAGGATCATCTCTAAGACTGTGGTGAGGGGCCTGATGAAGATCAACCTCAACCCATGGTTACCTAGCTGAGTCAAGACCTAATCACTAATAATGGGTACCAATGACTAAACCAGCACATACCTGGGAAACACCACCTTATTCGTTCTTGAGCTGTCATTTGTTTATCCACTTCTATACAAACCAATGCTCATTTCTCTGAGCCATCTGCTCTGGCTGGCCCACCACACATTGGCATCACTTTGTAGTTTTTTTGGGTTTTTTTGTTAAGTCAAGGCCAAAATTCCTGTTTCTCCATCTTTCCTTTGGTTCAGATGGGATGCTAGGGAGGTTAAAAAGGCTATAAATCCCCTTACCTATTCTACTGCAAGACTTTAGAAAAGGAGTGGGCCATCTCATAAGATTCTAGTGTCAGTGACTGATTCACTACCTAGGGAAACACAAGGGACTCAGAGAAAACACCTTACTCAGAACCCCAATAAACACCATTCTAAAATGCCAAGGCCAAGTGTCCCTCCAGAGAAGACAAAGGGCTAAGTGTATAGTCCTCATTTCCCTCCCCTTTCCTACCTATGCTCCCTTTTCTACAACATTCAGCCAGAGATTTGTCCCCTCAGGACTTTCAAGGGACAGGACACCACTCCCATTTCTTGACAACTTTAGTTACTTCTGTTCCTTGTCAATTTTATTTGCTTCAACAAAACCCTCTAAGAATGACTATGCTTTCAGCTCCAAAAGTAAAAGCAGCCTGGTCAAGTTTTCTTGATGCTATAGTCTAAGAGCAACTTAT